CAATGGCCAGAGGGCAGGAGGCCTCGGGCGGGAGGCGGGTGTGGTGGCGCCGTCGATGGGGCGCTGGCCCTGCGGCTGACCCTCCCTTTATTGGACTGCGGTGTGGTCTCGGCTCTGTTCTGCCTCAGCTTCGATTTTCTCGCGTTAATTGTGTGACTCAGTTTTCCGGCGAAGTCATTGGAAGCCTTAAACTCCAATTCCTTCCGAGACCTCGTGAATCCTTGCAGCTCATTCATCCAGTAGCTTTGTATCCAAGGCCAAAGTCACCGGGGAGCTGCTTTGAACCCCACCCCCATCTCCTCTCACCCCCATCCCCACCCCCCTCCCAGGCCACGTGGAAGAAGAGGGTCACTGTTTTCAGTGTGTCCTGTTCTCAAGGCATCTGCTGTTTTCCTTGTGACACCCAAACCAACAAACCAGGAACCATGCATTTGTTTTGTTTTTGTTAATCCTCCCTTGAGGATATTTTAGGGAGAGTAGAAAGGAGGGGGAAGAGACAGAGAGACACATCAATTGGTTGCCTCCCACAGCCCCAACCAGGGCGAAGACTCTAGCCTGCGATGGGTACATGCCCTTCAAGGGAATCGAACCCGGGACCCGTCTGTCCACAGGCGGTCACTCTATCCACTGAGCCAAACAGGCCAGGGCAGCCATATGGACCTTCATACTTGTTCTCTGCCTGAAACACTTGCATTTCCTCCCTCCATCACATCACATTTGCTTGAGGAACCCCGTGTATGTTTCTGCTCTTACTAAACACTCCACAGTTTTCCTATTTTGTGTCCCTTTTGCATGTGTCACTTCCTAAAAAAAAAAGTCATATCCTTTGCAGTTGCTTGTTTACTGGTTTTTTCCATACCCAGGGCCTGGAACTGTCCACACTGCAGATTTGATTTATGCTTTCTTATTATTACGCCCTATCGAGGAAAGCTAAACTGTTTCAGGATTACTTAGCAAATTAGAAGATGTGGATCGGAAAGGAATGGTAGAGGTGAAATACGGAGTTGCTGGAACCATGTGAGTGTGCAGGATTGTAACAGTGCTAGCACGGTGCTTAGCCCAGCCTGTATGGAAGTGTGCTCAGCCAGTTTGAGTGACGTGTTGTACGTACGTGACCTCCAAGAATGAAACGTAAAGCTTAAGTCGTTCCTGTCACAACCTGATTGTTGGTTGAGCTTTGGTTTTGTTCTGCTCTTTTGCAAAAGAAGGCTGTTGAAAGTTATAATGTATTTTAATGAATGGATGGACAGTTTATTGGAGTTTGGCAATAAAACCTGTTCATAGAAGAAGAAAAAAGAGAGAGAGAGAGAGATGAAACTCTGTACCTAATTAAATCAGGTTTTCTTTTATATCCTGAAAAAAGGCCTTGCCTCTGAAAGACATTTGCAATGCTTCTTTGCTGTTTTGCTTTCAAATTTAATTTAACACAATCTCTTACCGCTTCATCCACCTTCTAATGCTAGAAAGCAGTCTTTATTTTCATGAATGGCATTAAATCCATTCTGGTGCCTATTTTTAGATAGTTTTTTTAAGCTCTGTTTCACAGATGGGAGCACTGACTGGTGTTTGTGGGCTAGAAAAGATGTAGGAATTCTTAGACTGTTAGATACTGTTTTGTACACATTTAACAAATATGAGTGTAATGGAGAGGGCTAGGGAATAGGTCCTCTGTAGTCAGAGGTCCTGAGGCCTGGTCCCAAGGGCGGCACTCACTAGCTCACCCATAAATTGGGCATAAGTAATACACAGGCCTCAGGCGGTGGCTGTGGGTGTAAAATGCGGAATCTGTGACAGTGCTTTGTAAATCTCTATGTAGTGTTGTTATTTCTCTGCCTGTTTTGTTCTTGCCTTCAAATTGCTAATAGAGCTTCTGAATTAGGGTGGAATAAGATGACATTACCTGACACAAACTTGACCTTGTCTGGCCTCTGCCTGGTTGGGCCACTTTGGAGTCCCAGTGAGCATTGTGTAAGGCCCACATGGGGAAAGGTGTGGGTCTCTTCCATTCCTCGATACCCTCAGGGTTTACTACAGAATCTGCTCGCAGTTGGTGTTCAGTAGGCTATTCTGGGACAAATGGATCAGTGCCCCTGAGTAACTACTCAGTTTCAGACTTGCTCTGGCGTGCAGTGGTTGCAAACCTGAATCAGCTTCTACTTCCACGGAGGAGCAGTTCTCAGTGGGAGGGAGGAGGCCTTAGAGCAGTGGTTCTCCACCTTGGCTGCACATCAGAATCACCTGGGAATCTTTAAAATCCTGATTCTGGGCCTCATCCTCCGGAAATTCTGTTTCTTTGTTATGGGGTGGGGCCACAACATTAGTAACAAAGAAACAGAAT